GATGGCGTCACAGCTTGGAAAAAAGTGGATGATTCCTATTGAGAATCTTGCAAATAGAAAAGGGACCACCCAAAGCCTGACAGTCCTTTAAGGAACCGCAAACTCCCGACTTCCGAGCGCACCGTGTAATTAGAATGACGGTGGCGACTTGCCGTCGGGCAGTTCCATTTATAATAACTGAGCGCATGGTGATATGTGTCTCCTAAACGATGCTAGCTGTAATAAACCATTGTATTCATGTCCAGTAGTATAATTGAATTTGTTGTGGAACGATAAAAGGTTGGAATTGAAAAAGGTCATGTCTAGAGAAGAAGCTAAGTGCTGTTTTTAAATTAATCAAGTGAACCAAGAGTTTAAGGGGAAAATATAGAAGGTAAGACGGTAAACATTAAAATGCAACTTGAACTTGCTGAATTAATTTTAACACCCCACTAATCCCAAAACACGTATTCAGCCAATAATTCCAATCACAAAAAAGCATAGCACGACGAAAATAAATCTTTCAGCCAGTACACTAGTTCGTCACTGATATGACATCAAAGATTAATAGACCTATTTATCATTCAAATCTTTGTTCAAGTCATCAAATACAAGTGAGCAGTCATGGTGAAGGCCTGGGTCATTAATATGAAGACAAATGATTCAAAGTGACAATGTGAAGAGATATTAACGCAATGAAAACACAAAGTTTCAAGTGACATCCCAGAGCAGTCATCAGGTATACGTGCACTGTGAAAGGCGTGGATGGTGGATTGTAAACAAATCTTATATCTGAATATAACAAAATTTGGTTGTTCAATTTTGGCACTCCGAGTAACTTCCACTATAATCAGTTCATAAATGAACTACAGAAATACATTTACAACCATTTGGTGGAATGCACCCTGCATAGTATCATGTGAACAACAGGCCATCTTTTCCGGGGGAGGGTGAATCAGGAACCCAATAGTTCTGCTGAATAACATGTTATGCTCTGAGATGGATATGACGTGGTTTGGTTCTTCAGATACCCTGCGCTGTGAAGCGAGCATCTTCACAGCAAATTCCTTATGTACTTGAAAAGTGAGCACTATTTCTATCCTTTTTATAATTTATTTTTCATTTAGTTGTTGTATTTTCAGTTGTGTCAAATGTTGATGTGAATACACAGCAAAAACTATCCCTTTCTCCAACACTGACCCCAACACTCAAACTTTCCCTAACCCCAACACTAACCACTATACCTAACCCTACTATCCCGAACCCAACCCCCAACCCTATCCCTCACCATACGATCTCTAACCCTATACCTAACCCTATATCCCTAACTATAAGTTAGCAGGCCTTCCCCGCATAGACATAAGCACGGGCACGTATGAACCCGGATAATCCTGGCCAAAATTGTAGGAACACATACACTAGCCACACCCTCCCAAGGTTGCACAGACCATGACCCATGAGACACAACATTGACCGGAAATGGGGGTGGGAGGTTCGGTCAATGTTTTAAATTTGGCTGGGATAGTTAAAATTTAATCCACGGCTTTGAATAGACACCCGTTTATTATCGGGCTTGTATTCATAATTGTGCATGAATAACCCCCTATACGCTGGTTATGAGTAGAAATCCCAATGAATGATCTTGAGTTTTGCTCTGTTTCCACGGACGTTCTTGCAAAGTTTTACGACCACTTCAGAGACGGTGTTGAATCATGCCGTTTTCATGCACAGCACCTTGGGAAATGGTCAATACTTGCATTTGATTTGTTGGAACCTATTGAGAAATGGCAGGTACATTTTGGCGGTATTCTATTTTAATACGAAAAGGGGCATACTTGATTAAGAAGTTGCAATGATCTGTCACCGGCGGGCATACTGGTTCTCTACACTCACATTCACGCGCGCGCTGCGTACAGTGGCGGCACCAGCGGGGAACAACGACGGATTGGGGGAACATAAAATCAAAATTACTCAGAATGTGGGTTTTTTATGTGTTGTGCTTTGATTTGGCACTGAGGTTTACTCACTCGAGTCACTTTCTCCTGCAGTTAAATAAACTTGCTTTGCCGGCCATTCACGAAAGTCTTTCAGTCTTTGAGCCGGCCAGTCTTTAAGGTTGTGTCAAGGCATCTTTAAAAGAATTTTGTGTAGATGAAAGTTTCCATATTATGAAATAAACATGCATTTGATAGGAGAGGAATATAAATACATGGAACTGTAAAAATCCGCTACAGCATTGAACAAAATGTATAAACGGCTGCATGCACAGTACAAGTACAATAAAAAAAATTGGCGTGTCCTGTCTCTAGTTTTACAAGCATGGAAGATCAAAGTTTGATACCAGTATAAGTTTTGCACGTTTCACAAATTAATTAAAAGCACGAATAATAAATAACTCACAACTAACACTACTGCACACTGGCATCCGTTAAATGGTTTAGCCTTCCGGGTTCCATAGGCATTTCGTGCGGTGGTAACATATGCAGCATACGTGTATTTATGATATCGAGATAATGTGTCCTTTCCCTGATTTGGGGGAGCCTTTTTGCACACAGTTTCTGCTCACCCTGTAACTAATCAAATACAAAAACGGCTCTCCGGCTTAATTTGGGGAGCATTATGAAAGTCAATACTGACACATTTTCAGGCGAAAATCTACCTTTACTTTGCACAATGCCTGCCCCTACTACAGGTATAAACAGAGTATTGCACGCATTATTACACAATTCTCCAAACCAGAAATAAATCAAACCTTTAAAATGTGCAGTAAATGGAAAGAAGTCTCGCATCAAGTCCACCATACTCAAGTGAATTAGCAAAAACCACGTGTAGGATCAACAGGGCGAAAGCACAAGAACGAATTAACACTATCGCACTGGACACTTTTTAGGGATTTAATGTTACTGTGTGTCACCCTTGATGACCTTTATTATTGTTTTTTTAAAGTACGGAGTCCCATGTGTAACAATCCTGGAGGGATGAATTCTACATGTGTGGTACAGTCCGAGGCCAGTTTAATCTCCTTCAGCCCTGTTCCAAGGGTATCACCGGATATATGTTTGTTTCCTTTAAAACCTTGCATCTAGGAAATCTCTGGCAATGTTGACATGCTGAAGGATTCAGGACCAGCAAAACTGTTGTGTTCTTTATTCATTAACAAAACAAGCACATTATGGTGGACAGTGACACCGCTTGAGATAAACTGAAGCTCTTTCATTCCAACAATTTCAGTCAAAAATACATCAAGTACGGAAGATTGCGCTTTGCATTTTTAGATGAATTTAAGCAAATGGCAACCCCACAATCTAACCAAAATCAAGCACGACAAATACGTATACTATTACGTATCACGCGAGTGCTCGTGGAACAAGGAATAATGTAGGCCTAGTGCGTCTGTGCCCCGTATACCCCGTGGCCAAAGGCCGAGTGGTATACAGGACACAGATGTAGCCATGTGGTATACGGGACACAGATGCACTGCATTATTTCGTGTTCCACGAGTGCAAGCATTATAACAAATTTATCTTCAAGCAAACTTGACGTGCAGTAAAGAAAGTTAAGGGGCCTATGCGCACTGTACATAAAAAAAAAGAAACAAGATATCATACGGTGCACAGCAAAAACAGTAACACCAATGTACCACAATTTGGCAATTTTATCTAGGGAGCATAAGAATTATCTGTGTTTTAACTTATTTCAATAACAACAATAACAGCGGGGCTTACACTAAGAAAGGAAATTGTTGGCATTGTATGTGCATTTAAACATGCGATGAGCAGCACGGACAATCACGCCACTTTTGAATTTACAGTCAAGCAGACGTGCGTTTGCTTTTTGCGTAAAATAGCACAATGCGTTGAATTAGAACAGCGCATTGTGCAGGGTTTGATATGCACCGTGCAATACTGTTATATATCACACTGTCTGTTGCCACGGATCGACCAATCAGACCTGAGAGTTCAAGTTTGCCTGAAGATAAATGTATATATCGATTGTGGGTAATCATGCATACACGTTCAGCAAGGACTACGCGACAGACAATCAAAGCTATAACAGCATATTAATTTAAGACTTGCAAATGAGACAGGCTATACTGTATGAGTTAGGGTTGTACTGAATGTCAACACAAGAGGATCGTTACTAATATCTGGCCTGACAACAAGCCACAGAAAGTCCCCACCGTCCCTGTCACACTCTAGATCTGAAGGCTGCCAGATGTGGCAGAGGGAAAGCTTCTTCATCCTCTTCTGTAGGACAGAAAGAGAGCAGAGAGTGGGAGTGAACGGCAGCAGAGGAATGACAGCCATGGCGACAGTTATCAAGGAAAGCTCTCGCAAGATGAGAACATTCTCTCCAATGCACTAGTTAACTGATGATAACTGGATTCTTGGCCCTTCAGGGTCCATTTACACAGGTGAGTGGTCGCACAGGTCCATCTGGTGAAACTATCTAACGCAGCGGTTTCCTGCTGAGTGTTACACTGAAAGACGGCGCCGTTGGCCGTAGGGCAATCAACCGCTGCGCTTAGAAACATGGGCACATTTTCAAAGGAGCTGATCTGATACTTCACATTCTGGCCAATCAGCAGTCTCGTTCAGTGTGATGTCACGCACTAGCAAGGAGACGGAGCGAGAGTCGGCGTCCCTTTGTCCTGCCTTTGAATCCTCTCTTGTGGCACCACTTACGTCATGAACACGCTCACTTTACGGTATTCCGTAACTACTCGTAGACGCAGATGAGCCCAAACAGAAGATCAATATATGAGAGAATCTTCTCAAAAAGCAACCAATCTGACTCCTGTTGCTTTGCACAAGAAGGGTGCATAATATAAGAACTCACAAGTAGTCCAAAGCAGGTGACATGGCGTCCATCCATTGGTTTGTGCACAAATGGCACAGGGTTTGCATGCAACTTATTTTCATCTGAATGTGTAACAAACCTGAACCTTCTTCACACAGACGAAAGCTCAAAGCAGTAATCCGCCCCGACGGGAAGCACCCCTTTAACGGCAAAAGAGAGATGAGGTTGGTGGGAATTGTTTCATGTGGGCACCGGCGCATGTGGGGACCATACATTCCAACAGAAATTTGCTGCCCCCGCTTAGCAGCGTGTTCCGTGGCAACCAAGCATTTAACCGTGGGCGAACGCAGCGTGTTCCCAACAAAGTGCAATCTTTGCCATGCAAGAACACGCCATCTCTTGTTCCGGCACGGATCTGATTGTGTTCACCCATCTGTAATATCCCTCTTTGTTGAACGTTTTGAAATTTCTTTGACAGAGACTCCACTGAGACAAAAATTACAAAACCTCAAAGTGCTTCCTCCTCTTGTTCGAGCTAAGGCACTTCAATTTTTTTTCTTTTCAGAATGTGATGGTGAAGTTAAACTTGCACTCCTTGCGGATGTCCATGAGTATCTGCTTGTCGGGTTTGCTCTCGGCCTCCTCCTCCTTGGCAATCTTCTCCAGGCTCCTCTTCAGGTCGGCCAACCGGTGCTTGTTCTCCCAGTAGACCGCCATCTTCAGGATGCTGTGGATTAGGGACAGGTACTCCGTCCTTAGCTGTGGGATTGAAAGAAAAGAAAATCCAAGAAAAACAAAAGGTTAGGATTTCAGGAACATCAATGGGGCAATGCGGACATCTGGGAGTTTCACAAAAATACGGGTAGCAACTACAACCCGGCCGGTGAAAACAACTTCACCAAGCGTGCGCGTACGTACAGATCAAAGAAAAGATTGTATAACCCGATCCTCGGACTGGCTGGTGCGTGCATCACCAAGGTCGCTGTTTTCACCAGTGCAGTACCTGTCATTTTGCGAGAATCCCGGATGTCTGCGCTACCCCATACTGCTGACTGGCTCCTCCTGGTTGTTTAACCATGTTCTCTTACAGTACATGTAATTTTGGGCCAGTCAGCTAAACATGCCAGTACCCTCCAGACAACATTACTTTGGATGCCATGCCTTACCAGCGAAGACTCCAAATGGAGTGAACTGCAGGGTGCTGTTTGTACATCACATAATTCATTGGGCATTCCTTGGAGTGTGTACACTGACCTCCACTGTAGAAGCCGTATTCACAGCAAGGCACGGGGTAGTTAAGCCAAGTTAATATTGAAGTGATTTGGAAGACATGAACAGAGTCAGGGTTGAGGCCAGTTGATACTTAGGGGCAAATGCGAAAAAAAACAAAGCAAATTTGAGGTCACGAAAACAATCGCAGCCAAATTCGCACAAATTTAAATGTGTTCAACCATGTCAACTTTTGTGAATTCCCAGCACAAATATTTGATCAGATGTCATAATTTTGTATTTGTGTTCACTTGTGAGCCAAGTATGAAAAAGGCCTCTAAAAAGAATGTCTCAACTCAATCTTTTTATTTGAGTAAATACATTCTGAGTACAACACATTTGAGTGCTGTTGTTAACAAGTGTTGCATCTTTGCTTGTGAAGTTGTCAACAGCACGGACAACAGAAAGTGGTGTCCCCATGATTGTGGAGGGAACTGAGCATGGGCAGATTGTGAAAATGTGCGGAAATGCACCATCAACGTTTAGCATTTCAGGGTTGACGGAGTAATTATGCACCAGTCCACGATTCAGTGGCCAAAAAACCTTTGTAATGAGCTGTAACGTTACATCCTGTAATGAATATCAAGTTCTACCTTGTCGCCCGGGCTCCTGTCCGTCAACTGCCTGACGATGATGTCGATCAGGACGTTCATGTCATTGGTGTAGAACAGCGAGGACGTGTCAGCGCTGGCAAAGATGTCGCAGAGGAACTTGAGTAGTGAGTTGGGTGGCTTGGGGTCATACTCAAACATCCGCACAGGGTCAACTGGCAAAGAGCACAATGCCAATGCATGCTTTTTTCTTTATAAGTAATGTTTTTATTAGTTCAACAATGCAATTTCTTTACTAATGAATAAAAAATATGACCTGCGTTCAACTCAATTTAAATTAAATAGATTTTTGTGCTCATGTCTGTGGAAACTTCCTACGACAATAAATGATGTGCAAAATGTTGGGGAGCAAAACTACGGCTAAGCAAAGAGATGTAAAGACTTCTGGGAAAAAAGGGCTTGAGAGGGCACTATCACTCTGACGCAAGGGAGTGAAATACTTTGGTATTCATCATTAATTAGTTTAACTTCAGTTTAGTTGATTTTTTTCCTTTTGTTTGCTTGACCGCCTATCCTCCAAAGTTTGTTGTTTTCGCGTAACTTTAGACAACGCTTGAGATTCGCCATTCTGTGGAGGGCATAGCAATTTCCGTAAGTTCTATTAACCCATACCCAAAACTGCCTGATCACTCGTTGTTCTTCAATCCTCACCTTCCCTGTTGACTAGGATCATGATCTTCTCGCTGAACCTTCTCGATGTCTGCCTCTCGGCTAGGACTTTCATCACCAAATTTGCCTTGCGATCTGACAAGATGAAAGTATTGCTTTCAAACAACCCAAGTTCATTTGAAATTGCCGCATAGGCTCAACAGATTCAATGAATGGGTGGCTCCCTGCTTTGAGTAGAAATTGTGAACAATTTGGCCCAGACCATACAATGTGAGCAGTTTGCCCAAGTGGAGGACGGACACAGTGTATGGTTGCATTGATTCACATAGCCGATTGTGAATTCAAGCGGGGTACCTCTGACTGATATCAGTTTAACCCACACTCTCCAGGGTGGGTGAAAAATTATCTTATAATCGGAGGTTTAAGGATTACTTTGGTAACATTCACAAACCCACACTTTCTTAGCTTCATGATGGCCAAATTCAGGCACGTCCATGGGCTCTCATGAAAACTTAGCAGGAAATCTGATCAGATTTTAACATACATGTATTTGTGCACTGCCAATTGTGTTGAGCTACATGTAATAGGGTGGACTTTCGCCATGACAAGTCCATCACAAGTCCCTTCAAGCTATTCACGAGTCCACCACAAGTCTTCAGTCTTAAGTCACAAGCTATTCAAATAGACTATTATAAAAGACAAAAAGCATTCCTGTGTCATTCTTTGTCCTGTTGCATTTGCACTTGCGAAAGGACTTGTGAAAGGTTCGACTACATATACATGCCTAGAGAGCACAAGCATCCCTCCAAAGTGTCTCTCAGTAACAACTGTGCACTCTACGTTAACAAACCATGGATGTCGTGACCAAATGGCTTATACACAGTGTCTGTTAGGCAATGGAGAAGTCCTGAAGGATTTCAAGCCTTAGCAACTTGGCTGGTGCTATCAAGGGGCTAGCAAAACTTCTAGAGAAAAAGATTCGGAGGAGTAGCTGACCTGTAAAGTGGAGATTGAAGGCTAGCACGAGATTAACAAACAGGTCTGGCACCTGTTCCGATTCGTCTTCGGGTGGTGGGTCCTCGATGTTGTTGAGTAAGTAGCTGACAAATTCCTCATTCAGCTGATCTAGATCGATTTCAAAACAAAGAGGTGATACATGTAGATGCTTTTTAACTAGTCCATGCTGACAATTCAGACAAAATACCACAGTAACAGGCCAGACATTCAATTATCCAAATACACGATTGCGTGGAAAACCTAATATTAAAATTGGGAATTATTCAATTTCATTAAGCCTTGAAATGATACCATCTAAATTCATTCCAATTTGCATCCTTAAGCTATAAAAATAGCAGCAATTGTCCATTGGGTCAAGAGCAAACGAACATTTTCACACATGCACCGATGTCTGAAACAAACCCTACAAATTTTTGTAAGACAGGAACAATCGGAAGAGAGATCCAAGCATCTGCCCACAATTCCGGAGTTCAAGTCTACGAAAGCCCACCATATGCTGCTGAATGGGATTTTCCAGTACTGTGGAAAATAATCTCAAAACTACTTTTTGTTGAGTGTACAATTCAAAACATGGTCATCGTTCCTTTCTCATCTTCTT